ACGATGTGATGAAGAATTTCACGGGAAATCCCGTTACTTTTAGATACATGTGCTAAGGATCTGGAAAACAACTCAAAGTCGTTCGTGAGCTTCCCGGGAAAGATTACTGGGGACCCATTCAGCAAAAAGAAAATGGTACATCGGGAAACGAGGGACGGATAAAGTTTTCAGGAGTAGGACATAACTCGGTCCGACCAGCATCAGTTTTGACTGATTAATACACCGAGACACCTAACGTTTAAGGGTTAGATAATGGTATCATCTCCCAGGTTTATCGTGGGACAGAATTCTAAGAGATTTTCACGACGGTTCTCCCTAAGCGGTGAGAATAGGATCTCTACTCACTGATAGAGGGAAATTGAGATTTATGTGCAGTGGACCACTCAGCAGGGTGACAGATGTATCTAGGTGGGCTATTCCAACTACAATATGGTCTGTGTATTTAATGAGCAGGGAGTTTTGACAAGTAGGCATGGGTGAAATATAAGTGGAAAAGAAAAACGCGGACAGAATGGCCCCCTGGAGTGTGCCTAATGTAGAGATTAAGAGAGAACAGGAAGGACCAAGGTCACATGTGAATTGTGATCGATTTGTGAAACAGTTTGTGAGTACCGCAGTGATGGTGTACAATATCCCACTTGAATACAAAATATTTAGTAACTGAGACCTGTCAATACAGTTAGAGGCATCACTATAACCCAAGAAACGCATTCTGTCAACTTTCTTATTTTCGTCCAGTGCTGATAGAATGCCGGCTGGCTTGGGAGAAATATTTTCGAAATCAATGAGTCCTTATCACACCGATTGAAGCCTCAAAATGACGAGAATACGTGTTTGTTGTACATCCATCTTCATCGATTCGTATCCATAGTCTCCCTCGGGATTCAAACACATGCTCTTGGGGTTGTTAATTTATCAACTGCACTAATCAGTTGGGCTATCCTAACTGGCCCTGTAGTAGTTTGCGACATACAAATCATCAATACTGAAGGATATGTAGGGCTCATCCGTGAGTGAGGTTGAAACTAAATTGAATTAGATGATATCAGGGACAAAACACTTTCGCGTTCAAAACTGTTTATACATGGTCAACATTTACCCAGTGTTCTTACTGGTACACAATTCGAATTCCTCTCGAACTATCAGAACCGATATCCAGTGTAAGACGAATCATGTTCTGCCGACCCAACGTTTCTGCAGTGGCGAATAGGAAAAATTGGACAAGCTGGCGACTGCGAATTTAGACAACCGCTTACACTGTATTCTCCAGATCCGATTCGCCTAGTTTTCCGAAGAGACAACCCGGAGCGGTTACTGACCTTCAGACCTAGTTAACCAGTATCACACGTCCCAATCAAACCATTCTTCTTGCACGCATGCTGAATTCTGAGTAAATTCTATCGAAAAATACAAATCTCTGACCCTCTCTGTGGTAAGTCACCTACAGTCTTACTCTTCAGTTCTATAGATGCATGTTGCTACGACTGCTCAGCGAGCATACAATGCAATAGCTAAGGGTACCCAAATGAAAGTCCATGTCAAAAAGCTCACAGTGCGTTGTGTGCGATCGTGTTTCTCATCCACTTATTCTCCAAGCACTTTTCAAACAATTTGTGACAATATGATATCCGGAATATGGTAGGCGAACTCGAATATGGCGAATTCGAGTTAGGGCTGAACGATGCGAGGTGAGATAGAACCAAGACAAGCCGTAGTTTATTCTATTCCGAAAGAAAGCATGCGCCTCCCGTCTCAGTCATATTTTGATACGGCCTCTACTGTCCAATCGCGGTACATATGCAGAGCACGTTAAATTCCAAATATTCAACCATTCAGATTACACGTGCTCAGGCTCGTCGGATTGGTTGAGCTCCCCGTGCCCTGATTGGTCGTTTGGATGTTCTATCGTGAGACAACAATTTGTTGAATGTTTCCCTCACAGTCGAACATCGTTCCCGTAAAATTCAGCCTCTATTCGCAGGTAACTCCACACCCTGCCGTTCTTTGCGCAACCAATAAGACTACCTTTTCGACTACCGATGTCTTTGTATTCACCCGAAGTTAATCCTCGCTCGTTCACTCAAAATGGATGGAACGAGTCGTTAAAATTTGTGCAGTAATATACTCCACTGTTTCACCAAGCCTCATTGTAGATGTTCATTTATCATTTTAATAATTTTTGGTTCTTAATATTAACCTTTGCCTGGGGTAGGGGGGGAGGGGGAGGGGGGAGAACCGCATGATATTTTGTTGGATAATGAAAAAGATATGTTAATATGCGTGCGAAACGACTTGTGATCAGGGGCAGTCATGTGCAGCGGTGCTCATGAAATCGATCCGAATCGTCAAATCCATGAGTCACGTGATATTTAGCATGAAACGGAAAAACAGCAGCATAGTTAACTAATACCTAACGCACTACTTGAAACAAATGCAGCTGTAGTATAAAAGCAAACTCAGACGGTAAAATGAAACTGTTACGGTTCAGTATGAAATTGTTTGTGGGTCTTTAAAACCCAGAAGTGCTTCTACTTTCCCCTAGTGAGGACAATAACTTCGGAAATCGTGTAGTGCCTGGCATTATAGGCATATCAATTAAGGATAATTTTTTTTAAACAAATATATATATCCAATCATGTGTTTATCTACAATAGTAAAAACACCTCCGAACTATTTCTATTTTGAATAAGTTCAAAGTGAATCTGTGACTGGATCGGTACCTAGTTTATCCGAGTACGCTCAGATGAATGAGATCTTTTGTGCGATGATACAGTTTCGATGGAATGAGCGATTTTTCAATTCGTATAGTTCGAAGCGTAGATCATACCCAGTAAGAAAACTCTCCATGTTATCTTTCTCTCTTTCTCTCATTGTATATGGGCGTACAAATTGACTTATTGCACCTGAAAAATTCCGAAACGATATAAAATTGTTCAAAGTACGATGCATTTCAACGATAATTAGTAAAATTCCCTTTGATTGGTTCAGGTTAGCTTAGTAGCATGTAAATCAGGATTACTGCAGTTGGCGGAGGGTATTATTATCACTATTATTATTAATATTTCACAGCGAAAGCTCGATCTGTCTGTTTGAAAGACAGATTGTTTGTTTCCTTGACCCTTCCCCAGTAGGAATACTGCAATTTCAATTCGATTATGACAATTATAAAGAATATTTTTTTTATTATTCACGTGATATCTCATGACATGCGGTGTGCACCGGATGAGATACATCGAAACTTGTTTGCCCTTTCTATTCAAATTTAAACCACGTCGAGCAATAAATAGCTGGTTGTTAATTGGCTTAGTCACTGCATTCTGAAAGGCAATGCTACTTAATGATTAATTTAAATTTGTATTCATTTTGTTGATTCATTTTTAAATCGAGGGATATCACTTTCCGCGACCACCCCCCCCCACCCCCGTTTCACTAGTCAATATCGAAAGCCCATGTGTTTACGCATACGGTAGTGGTGCCCATTGAGCCTGACGTACCCAAATCGCTGTTTCTCTTCTCAAAAACACTTATCTTTTTATACACTAAGCCGAGCACACAGAAACTCAGAACCATTCGCAAATCCCATCTATCCCAGATAAAGTGGTGATGCAGATACATGCAAAACTACATACAGTCTAAATAGTATTTCGAGAACCGTACATTCTTATGTGAAACCGCCTGTTACTATGGCTGGGCGAGAAACTTCTCTGCCTATAAGCCTGTCTAACTCAAGGACATTCTGTCGGAATGATATTGAGTACAGGTGGGACCAGGTATCAGTTTTATTTATTTCATGCTTCAAGAGAAAAAACAAGGGTTTGCACACTGTATCCACCATGATCAACCATCTCGATGCCTCTGCACCGCACAGTAACAACAGCAAAAATAACAACAACCGTGAAACGAAGATAAGATCCTAATCACAGCGGACAACACAACACATCATAACAACACCGAAAACGAGAGCCAGAGAGAGAGAGGGTACGGGGCAATCATCAAAATGTGACTGTTATCTCACCGATTATAAAAATCGATTTGACTGCAGTATGCAGGTGTACCCATGCAGCAAAATAACCATGGATACATAGTGTGAACCCATGTTTCTCTATTCCCATTATTGACGGAAAAGCAGTGTTTACAGTTCAACTGAACTTGAAATGATTCAGTCCACAAGTTACAATATAACCACATGTGCTAGATTGACATCCGGGCATGTTACAGTGCGGGATTTGATAAACAAAGCGCTGAAATACATAAGCAATATGATGATGGGAAAAATTCGCCATAATTTCTTGTCATGATGCCAAAATACGGTTACGCAGTGGAGTTTGAATTGTTTCAAGGCTTTGTGGAGCTTTCGGATCATATGTTCAGTCAATTAGAACAACTCTGATTTGCAATGTGCAATGAAAATCCCCAAATCTCAAACCGTCGCCAGAGCGAGGCCTTTTAAAACCAATGTTTTCTGATTCCGGTAGATCCATTCACCCTTCGCACTGTTCCAGTTCGTCGGTCCATCCTCCAATCGTGAAAGAGAGAGTTGATCTCTGTAATCTTAACGTACTTTTCCTATAGACAATATATTCACCACGGGAGGATACATGCATAGAGTGATATGAATCCGTGGGGTGGGAGGCTAAGTTGAATGGTAGCAGTCTATGTAACCCATACGTCAGTTTAGCGTTGTCTTCGTTGCAATTTTTTGCGTCTTTCGTCTTATCTGACAACCGGTGGTGGCATTCAATTTCACCTTTACCTTATTTATCCTCATAGAAATTATGCAGAAGTTGTTATAGTTGTAATTATTATTTAGTGGAAACATTGATTGAAATATAACTGCGTGAAACGCAGACTGATGGCCGTTTCCAAGAGGCTAAGATCATCGCGAAATCTACTTCGGGGAAATATTGGGTGACAATCGATTTTTTGTAGCAGGTGAATCGTCAATTACAGATACATTTTCGTTGAAATCAAACACGACCGAGCCGGTACTTGTCTAGTAGTTACGAGTATCGTTGCGGTTTCCTCCCGGTGCACGGCCAGAACAAAGATATATGCGAACATTCCACAAAACCCGAACTTACCACTTTCCAGAAACTGGCATTTTTCGGAAATCTGGGCATTGTCTCAAACGTGGTACAGATTGAATTAGGCGGAGCCGGTACCTGTTCCAGTACTTTCAGTGTGAAACAGACTACCGGATCTGTGGCAAATGTGACCAGAATATGCGCACTGTGATTGTAGATGGGAGACACGGCGTCTGTGGCCGAATTCCATGTGACCACGTTTTGCTCGTCACAATGTTTCGTTGTCCCGTGTATGATATTCCAATTGTGCTTACCTAGTCGAATCAATCGATTCACATTCAGGTGGGTAAGTTCATGCTCCACCAGACAGATGGTCACTGCCGGAGGAGGCAAATCGTCTTGTGGCCCCCGTTCGTCCAATCGTATTACCGTCACATAGGATAAATGTCGATGCACCACAACAGTGATCGAACTGACCAGGGCAACTACCATGCACACGGTGAACACAGCCCACAGAGCACGAACAGCCCGGTTTTTGGTAGTGAATATTTTTACCACAGGAACCCAACCGGTAAGAAATCTGGGCTGTTCCTCGTCAATGACCAGGCCAGGAGTGAGAGTGGATGAGTTCGTGGGTGTATTCAACATATCATCCTCTGGTTGTTGTTGTTGTTGTTGTTGATAATGATGATGATGATGATGATGATGATGATGATTCGATGCGGTTGGCCGTTCCGGTTTTGCTTCCGGTCCATCGTGAACACCAACACACATGGTGTGGGACGGGAGTTGAAGCACCATCTTTCCCTGGCTATCGAGTACGGCTGCGCTGAGACTTGTCCCGGAGAGTAAGTGAGCATACCCAAATCCAATACCACAGCAGACACAATTAAATGCTTATTCCGCAACGAAGGAGAGATGTTCCCATCACATGAATACCAGATAAATGGACAAAAAATGAAAGTATTTTTTTACTCTCCTTGTATGTTCACAACAAACGAATGTGATTCCCTATTCGATCAATGCAGTCGACCGATTCACAGAATGAGATTATCGGGAAAATTCACCACACTTTGGGAAGAACCAATCCTCAGAGATGTGACCTGTCCTATTCCGTTTCTGATTGGTCCCAAATAAAGTGAATTCTGATTGGTCTACTTAAATTAATCTTTGTAGTTTAACACAATCAAAAAGCGATACAACCGGGCTGCAGTACACCAGAACAATTGGAATTTTGTTTGGCGAACGGAAATATTGCGCTAAATATATCTTGAAAAATATCAATTAAAAACATATTTTCGAACAATCCCGATTTTCCATTTATTGAGGAAAGATTTTGGATTGAGTTGTTTTCGGTAGATTCCGGGCTTGTTCAAATTAATTTTAATTTGTTTACATTTTTGAAATCAAAATGCAGTAAAATACGTTTTAATCTCTTATTCCGTGAGCTGTTTTTTTATTGGCACATTTATGTATGTATAGATGGATGGTTGGATGTGGACGCATGCATGTTGGAATCCCGCCACCATCGTCGCATAACTTCGATGGTATGGTTCTGTTCACTGTCACGTTTATCTTATTAAAAAAATATGCAGTTCATCATTCCACAAATAGGTAGCGGGTACAGATGGCCACACGATTTAAGTCTTTTTTTCTCCCCACGAATCACCTTTATCTCGCTTGCTTATAGTTTAAGGGAATGTTTTTAGTATAGAAGCAGACGAAGATGAAATTTGCAAATACTAAACTGATATAGACAAAGTAAGTCTGGGTTTGTGTGTGTGTGTGTGTGTGTGTGTG